TTGCTTCATGACGGCCATTTTACACATCATGATGTTAACCAGATGTGAGTTTTTTATTTTTAACGGAACTTCTTCGATCAAATTTTCATAATTTATCCCCAGTGACTTCATCCTGAAATTTAGCTTAATTTGTAGACAATTGCTGAAGCGCATATATAAGGTCTGTAGAAAAGCATATGAACATAAAGTGAATGACTTACATTTCAGGGGTGCATGATCCAACATAAAATTCCATCGCTTTCTCCGACAATCTGTAAGCCTTGATGCTCAGGATTCCTTGACTACACTGTACAGGATCTGAAGAACACAACTACACCGATGAAACAAACAGCTGTTCATAAAATTTACCATAAACTAGACATACGCAGTCTTCGATCGCCGACTGATATTCGTACATCGATTCGAAAACAGTTTCGTTGAAAGCAGTCCCGAATGGGCAACTCTGGTACCAGCCAACGCACAAATAGTCAATGTTCAAATTACGAAACGCCCTGAGCATCTGTTCCTGATGCTTTGCTGAAATGACAGAAAAATGCAATCAACAGACAATTAAAATGATATACAGTAATCAAGCTTATACATGAGAAATTATACCTGCTACCGGCAAGGATCACAAGTAATGATACATGCCGCTCGTGTAGTCGTTCTAACGACAAAACGATTGGGTAAAGCCACTGAGGATCCAAACCAAAGTAACTGATGTCAAATTTTTCACACATACTGATTAAATTAAATTAACCTACTGAAATATAAACGAATACGATATTATACATGGATTTCAGATCAAACTCAGTACTTCCTCAGAATAACATTCAGTTTTGCATTTTGATATTTTTATGGGGGGTTTGGTTAATGTCTACAACTGGTGGTACCACATTTGCAGATGGTCCTAAGTGATCGTTTGTTGTGTCTCATTCATGTGTCGCTAACATCTGTGCCAATGTTACAGCAGGCACAGTTGGTTCTGCAGATTAGTTGCATTTCTTTGACTTTACGAAAAAGATACTGCTTTTCTCCCGCGACGATTTTTATCTTCTTCTAGGATATTGTATTTCCTTTGTTCGCTACTGCTGTAGTGGATTTTTTTATGGAACAATAATTTGAAACAAAGACCTTACCACAGGAAAACAAGCGATATATCCATCCTTTTTCAAAAGGAATGCAAACGATATCTTCGTTTTGTGCAAAACGAAATTGTTTTTGGAACATGTGAAGTTTTTCAAGGCATCATCTTCTTCATTACAGAGAAACATTATATATAAACAAAGCGTCAACGTTTATGTGGGGAGGGGGGCCATGAAGCGCTGTCGTTGGACCATAAAAATTTGAGGAAGGCAAAAGCTTTAAGATCTGTTACTTCAGAGAAAGAATCAAAAATCGATACATAATATCTTATGCATGAACCCACATTTTTCATTACTGCACATTTATCTGCACAACAAATTACAAGAATAAAATGCCTTCCGACTTTAAAACTACGCATGTTGAAATTTAAAGTGAAACGAATTAACTGAAAATCAGGAATTCAGTCAACGTTCGAAACGATGATAAAAAGTCGCTATTGATAATAAGGTACAGTATCTCATTACAGCTATGTGCAGATGCATGATACGTCTGCATAAACATCAAAATAACTAGTCATACATTGTTACAGCTTAACAAAAGCTGAACATCATTGAGACTCAATTTTACGCCACAATGCTCACAAGTAACTCGACACTGCCGGTCCCAAGGCCCGTTAACAAAGGAGGACTGGAGACCATGGCGAAGTTTCCGTAAAAGTTCGCCACCTGCCGTGGTATTGACGCCATCGAAAATTATATCGGCTAGGTCATCGACCGGGGTACTAAAGGCAGCGCAGGCTGTTGGAAGACTGACGCAGAATGCAAAAAGTCGGCGATCAGAACTTGCTCATCGCTCTCTGCCAGTCGGAACCGTAGCAGCACAACAACGACGACGAAGATACCAGTCAGCAACGGAGACGCTACCCGTTCTGAACGAAGGAGGCAGACAGCGCGATGCCATTATAGCACGTCAGAAAAAGATCCACGAGAAAGACACCACCAGTGGGAGCTTAAGGTCGAAAATTGAAAAATATCCTCAGTCAGAGGAAAAGAACAAGAGTTAGTTGATGAGGCCATAAGGTACCAACTCGACATTGTTGGACCCTCGTCAACGAAACGCCAAGGCTCTGGACTCCTGAACCTCAATGGATGGAAGCTATTCTACTCTGGCGTCGATATCACGACTCGGGCTCAGACCGGTGTTGGTGTTCTGGTAGAACCCAACCTCGCCACTAGCATTATTGATTGAAAGCCTGTCAGCGGAAGGGTGGTAATCCTCCGACTGAAAGTACAACAGGCTAAAGCGTAGACGTTGGTAAAGTCTGTGCTCCCAATTTGGAGGGAGAACATGAATCCTTCCTTGAGGAAGTGAAGTGTGCTGGTTCGGAACTGCCCAATACAGAGACCCTCATATTCAAGGGCGATTTTAATACACATGTCGGAGTAGACGCTGATAAGTGGAACCGCGTGATTGAAAAAAAACGGCCCTAGCGACTTCAAAAATAACGGTATGAAGTCGTTGCAGTTTTGTGTAAACAACGGACTGTCCATTATGAATACCGTCTTCGAGCATCGAAAAGTGCTTCAGTACACCTGGTAC